CTTTCTGGTCCGTTTTTACGAAGAAACCTACACGTGAATTTCGAAAAAATATAGTTCTGGCGTAATCGCAAGAGAAATTTCTCCTTTTACCTAAACTGCATAAACTAGTATTTTTCAACAACTCTTTGGGGAACAGAAAGCTTGATATGATTATATACCTGAAACCTCAAATTAGAGGGGACCGAGTTGTTGATTAGCAAACAATGATTGATCAATAGTTACATTTACGCCCTTCTGTTCAATGTGTTCTTTGGTTTGGTTTGGTGTGGTTTGGTTTGGTTTGGTTTATTATTAAAAACTCAATAGCAGCCACAGGCTGAATTACTGAGAGTTTTACAAATTTTAAAATTACGATAACGAAACTGACTGGAATGAGATTTAAACTTGCAACGGGCGGAACAAGAAATGCATGTATAAAAATGGCCTTTTTAACCAAATAATTTACAAGGTTTTACTTCATACAAAAAACTTTCCATTATCTCTGGTTGTGTCTAACCTTAAGCAGTAAGAAATGAAACCTTGACAAAACCTTTGGCAGCTGTAGCAGACAGCTGCTGAAATTACGCCCACTCAAAATGTTCCAAGTAATGTGCTGTCATACATGGTGTCCAAACTAATTAATAATCGTTTAAATAGTTTATGCTGGCTCTGCACTCGCTCGGTTACCATGGTGCCAACACAATTAAATAGCGGTACAAAGAGTAGAGTGCAATTTACCTCTCCTAAAAACTCAATTAACATTTGGTGACGAGGATGAAACACACCGGTTAACGTCAGTGTTTCGCGCTTCATATTCGATGCATTTCACTGCATCCATTTATAATTCATTTTAGGTGTGACAAAAATAAAGTTCATTTAAATTAACAGAAATTTGACTTTACCAAGTCCAAGATCTCCTCCGTTCGAATGTTCAACCCTGAAGGGGTCATGTTCACGACAAGGTTTTAGTTGAAGCAGTCGGACTTAGAATAAAATAATAGTTCCATCAAGATTGTGACAAAAGTTGAGGTAGTGGAGCGGATCGTCCGGAATACTGAGACAAATGATATTATTTGACCTGGTAGTGGCACTAGAAATCTTCTAAAATGCCCCTGGAAGGATTTATCAACCGTTTCTGCAGGCTTTGTCAGTCGTGCCGACTCTGTGCTGTGATTTTTTTTCACTCAGCTGAAATCCCCTAAATTTTAAAACCGTCATTAAAATTATTTCAGACTGGGAACCAAAACTTCACTTGCCTTGATATTAATACCACGTATGTACTGAGGACTTTAAAGGACCATTGTAAAAAAAAAAAAAAAAAAAAACAAAACAAATACTGCCTCCAAATTTTGACTCTTTATTATGTGTCATTGACTTTTGGGGTCAGGAGTCAAACAGCTCAACGCCGTCTACGTTTCTTTTTAGATATTGGTGTCGAAAGTTTTGAGGGGAGAGGAAAAAGTTTGACATAAAATGTTTATATGAGTTCCTTTTCAATTACCGAAAACATGTACAATGGAGAACATACACAGTCATGGAATGATTGACTGGTAATAAGTAGTCCAGAGAAAACATTCAAGTGGTCTTTGCCTGCCAAGACAAAAGATTTTGCTGACCAATTTGAATTTGCCATTTGGTCCTAATCTTAATGCTTGAGAAAACTCAAGCCTGTGCTTTGTTACAAGACAAAGCATATTGGTCCAGCCATTTATACCGATGATACAAAATAAGTCTTGAGCCATCGAGAACTTCCTACTACGAATGAGACAGCCATATTTAAAAGGTGGGGGGTCATTAACCTTTTCAGCACCAGCCCCTCTCTGTACCACCCCCTTTGAATGCCAACCCACAGAGAGATAAATTACCGGCTCAATACCTAACCTGATATGGTACATGCATCCATACTGCCCTCTGCAGATTGTATGGGCATAACCTGACTTTCTATGCGATGAGTAATAAACCAACATTGACACAGTGGAGTAGTTACAACGAACTTGTAGAGACCAACCTAATCACTTAGTCTGCCTTTGATGTTCTCAGAACTGAATTTCCCCAAACGAATATTCTTATTAGTTAGCACTAGCCGGAAAAATTAAGTGTTCAGCTCCAAAGTACAAGTATAATTATTGCTTTCATTGGACAGAACGCCAACCCCCCCCCTTCAATGTTGGGAGAAGCTCTGCTCCATGCTTGCTCGTTTCTGCCAAAACTTTAAAAGGGGGGCAGAATTGTGATTTCTCGTCAAATACTCTGTTTTCTGATACTGGTTCTTTTAATTCTACCACAATATTAAAACCGGGAGGGATTGAATTGGGATTTTTATTCAAATAAGATAAAAACCAACAAAAAACTTGCAAATTGTTGACAGATTTAACGAATCACAGGAGTGGAATTTCTCAAAGTATCCCCATTGACAGCAGGCCTTGGGTCAGATAGAGTCGAAAGTCAAGATTTTATATGCTACGATTGGTGTCAAGACTATTATACACTATTCTTGCATTTAGATCACATATGTCTAGAAGATCCAAAATACTCGTTCCCACCACTTCACCGATATGTGAGCATGTGCATAGTACACACACTCCCACATGATTGATGTACCCAATGACAGTATTTGGTTTGCGGATGACATGATAACCTGTAGGAGAGTTTTTACATCGAACCTGCTTATTAGTTACTCTACAGTTATCATAGTTTGTCAAGAGTGTCACACGCTGTTTATCCTATCATACAACAAACATTTGTCCTGACTTTTCATAAAAGCAGGGTTTATCTCCTTTAGCCATAGGAAACTTTTAGGGGTTTTGCAAACTGAGGAATTCCTTGAGTCTTGTTTATATCGCACAGTTCCACAAAAGCCAAAGCATAGATGGGTTAACCTATGAACAAGAGCAGAGCTGGTGTACTAATTATCAGCAAAGATGCAGTGCCCCTGACTTTCAAATCAACTTGACCGGGTCGAGGAACTGCAGAGTGATGATCAGCTACACTGCCTGTCTCCGAATCGTCACGTGATGTTTGTGCTTGTAACCCTGTGTACACAGTCCAGGTGCATGTGTACTCCGTTTCAGATTCGTTCATGGCGAAACACTTGATACCTCATTTGGTGTTTGCTTTCTTGGCATATACTTCTGGAATGATAGTCTCCCCTGGAATTTGATCATGGGCTCGTCAGGAGCAAGGTTTCAGCTGGGTCTGTAATTATGAAGAAACGAGGGTACTATTGTCTGAACGAATTGGCGGACTTTTGTCAGCTTGTCAGGAGAAGTGCCCATGCTTGGAACTGTTTGGTTATCGGTCAGCTAGGTGGAAGAATTTGAGAATTGCCGTGTTGCAAGACAGTGGTTGTTGGATAAATGGCACTGTGTACAATGACCCCAGTTACTCCAGTACACATTGTAGTTAGGCCGCTTGTTGATACCTAGACACATTAGTAGTGCTACAAAGGCCACGATCTCTGGAATGGTGGTTGGAGACCAAGGACTTGGGTAGCTCGGTGACTTCTCCGCCATACTCTGCCTCAGCATAACGATTGGCTTCAGTGACCAGTAGCTCCCTCACCACTTACAAGAAAAATAACTGGACGATCTGCACTGGCGTGAAATCTATCCATTCTTCAGAATGTGATGCCCCAGTGTTGCCTGTGAGAGAAACAAGGAAGACCCATTGTGCTGCTAAGGAACATGTATGGCATTTGGGTTGTACCTACTGCTGGCTGACAATCACCCCGATTATTCAGGCCGATCATTAGATGCATATTATACAATGAACGGTTTTCAAAAGGCGATTACTTTTCAACATGTTTGTAAGAAGAAAAAGTAACCCTTAATTGTATTTGTTAGGACACCAATCACTGTACAGGCTGAAATTAAAAGTGACCGGTCAACGCGGGATGAATGCCCTTCAAGCCATGATTTCGGTTGGACAATAC